CAGTTCGAGTTGCCACGTTCCAAATAGCACACACACAAAGGTAGACAAGAGGATGAGTGAAGAGAAGCAATACAGTCTGACAAGTATAAGAGTGAAACAGAATGGGTAATGGTAGAAAGGAATATGAAAGATTACAGAGACTGAATACATCTGCGCTAGCCATTGACAACGATTTTGAGCCATGTCACCTATTGTCTCCAACCATTGATTCCTAGAGTCCCGAGGGCCCCAACCCGGAAGTCTGCATCTCCCTACCTGACTCAGTTTAACTGTCAAGGATTTCATGGATCGATGCCATGTTTTTGTTTGGCCACCACTTACCCTTTTCCAACCTGCACCTATATCAGCTAGTAATGCCCGTCGGGGGAGGCGATGGTTAGGCATGCGCAGTACGTGACCTAGCCATCTCAGGTCATCTTACATCATCTTACATTTGGCGGGAGCGAATCCCATGACAAACACTCGTAGATTGCAGCTCAAGGTGTTCAGAAGACTCTGCATTTTGTCAGCATCCTCGCCTATAAGGACTATATTCTAAGTCAACAAGATTATTCCCTGGTAGCAAGTCAATCCCTGAGTCTCTGAAGTGAGTTAGGGTTAAATCCATTAGTACGTCTATGATGAAATTGAATAGGAATGGGGATAATGGGCATCCCTGACGCGTGTAGACATTGATGAATAGGATTTACGTGGCAGAGGCTATGAACGCGTAGTCATCGCATGACAGTATTTCGACAGGAAGACTGAAGTCTACCCAGATAGTTTAAGAGGGATATAAAAATACTATTTCCCCAACTAATGAAACGTTTTATTTAGACTTTTTTGAAAAATCTTTTTAAAGAGTTAACTGATAAGGCCGAACTAAATAAAATTAAAAAAAATTGTACCATCCATGATCACTAGTCAATATACAGATGGGAAAAAACATGAGAATTAACTTAACAGACATTCAGTCTGATTGTAAAAACATGATATAAAAGGAAGTATTTTCAATTAATAATATATTCCACTTTTAGGACGTATAAGATAATACACGATTTCTGTGTGATTAGGTAACACATACACTTTCTGTTTTAAGGATACACACACACAGACACACACGATAGCGCATACACGACCAGATAATTGAATTTCTCATGGAATATAGCCAGTAACTTTCTAAATACCTTTAAAGATAAGACACAAAAATGACCTATACAAATACAAAAATATATGTAGATTTGCAAATACGCATATATAGCTTATATTATAGCTTGTTTAAACTACTTCCACTTTTAAAAAAGTTACCGAGATCATTTCTTTTTCCAAATACACCCATGATACATGAAAATGCTTAGGAGTGCATGTGTATATAGTCTTTTCAAGTGAATATATATATGTATATTAGACAAGCAATTACAAACTACAAAAAAGCTAACAGACAGTATATGTCTGTGTGACTCTACATAAGATGATAAGCGTCACAAAAAAGAAAAAGAAAATTAAGGATTCCTGCGCACGCAACACATACACAAAAATCAATAATATACAGTTCAAAATGTCTCTGATTTTTGGCTTTTACTTATTTATTTGAGTGGTTCAAGTAGGGAAAATAAATTATGCGACAATGTGGGTTACTTAATGTCCGAATAAATCGCAGTGGGAACACGAAAGGAAAAAGAAAGCAAACCAAAGAAACTTCTAAATAATCGCAATTCAATAACCCTAGTGTACCAGATGAAATGTTACATTTTCGTCAATGTGAAAAATGTGTCACAATTGTGATTCAAAATGACTGCATTAAAGGAATAGTGTTTTGAAGTGCACATGTTATATACCAGCAAAGTTTGTCTAATATTACCTGGGTACTGGAACCTTAGATTTATTGGGTAACTAATTCAGCATACGCCTAGCAGAAATCATGACCATAATTCCATAACTGGAATTATTATACGACTGTTCAGCACGCTGGTTTTAATGAGCAGTGATTTCAAAATTACCATTGTCATACAGTTACACCTCTTAGTAGACTTCGTCTGCATTTCATAATGCTTATTTGATCAGGTACTTCAACGACAACAACACAAAGGTTATACACCAATTCGCCTTTATAAATTTGAACGCCGATAGGACAAAGATTGATGCAAAATAATATGAATGTATTTTATTTCGTTGGTTCTCCTCATCTGCAGACAACCTGTATCATTTAGTAAAACAAGTTATATTACTATTTCAACATTTTATTTGTCCGCAGGAGTCATTAGCGTATGGATTGTTCTAATAAAGTCACTGTGAAACGAAACATTAGGACTTTATATATATATATATATATATATATATATATATATCCTAATGTTTTGTTTCGCCATGCCTTTCTTGCAATGATCCTCAATGGAGAATTTATTCATAAAGAGAAACAAAATGTATGTTATATTGTAATATAACTGGTTTTACTAAATATTATAGGTTGTACGCAGCTGACGAGAACCAGTGAAATGAAATGCATTCATATTATTCTGTACCAATATTTGTTATATCCCTGTTCAAACAAAAAAATGACTAACTTGTCCTGTATGTCTGTTTTCCACATAGAACTTTGCACATATGTGCAGCACTTCAAGTCGCCACACTTCCTCCATGTAGCACACAAACCAAGAGAAGAAAGTACAAGAAATCCATTAAAGAGACAGTAAACAGAGGTGTGAGACAAAGGAATAGTGATAACGAAGAACCATATAGTTTTATTGGATATTATACGCCACAGGGAGTGAATGCATCTCCGCCAGCCACTGAGAACGAGGATTTTGAGCCATATCACCAATTGTTTCCAGCCATTAGCTTTTACCGTCCCGAGGACCCCAGCCAGTCAGTCAGGAAGTCTACACCTTCCTACGTGACTGGCTTAAACTAACTGTTGTGGATTTCATTGACTGATGAAGCCATGTTTTGGTTTGACCCCCGCTAGCTGGCTCTTAACCAGCCTGGCCCTATATCGGCTAACATTGCCCATTATCGAGGAAGGCGATAACTAGGGATGCATGAGTACCACATGTCCTAACCATCTCACTCAGTCAATGTAATTTCACAGCCTCGTCGATTGATTTTCCCCTACCACCTACCTAGAACTCGACCGAAGCCTAACCTCAATATTCCTCACCTTATTATACCACTTCACACGGGAGATAGAACCCAAGCACCTATGATCAAAGACAGCTAATCTTTTCATGTCTTCCACTGTCAATGGCCACATCTCACAGCTGGCCATAAAGGAGGACGGAGCGGACTGATGAGCAGTACACACGCCCTTCGGTCTATAGCCAGACCGCATATCATATCTATTAAGCCAGAGACGGTTTAGACTGGCATATGCGAAACTAGCCCTCTTTATCCGTACTGAGATTTCGTCAGAGATCAACTCGTTGGCACTAGCTGATGCAAATTCCCAAATAAGTGAAGCGGTCAACGTGCCCTACCACTTCACTACCTATTTCTAAACTAGGAGTCAGTGTAGTCCACTCCTGTAACATCATCTTACATTTGACGGGTGTGTGTTCAGAAGACTCTGCATTTTGTCAGCGTCCTCGCCCAGAAGATTCTAAGTCAGCGAGATTATTCCCTGCCCTCTAAAAAATTCTCTCATATAGTGGTAATTTAACGAAGCTTGTTAAAATCAATCTAAGCGGTGTGTAAAGCACATCTACGTCAGGTAGATTCCCGTAACAACATGACCAAAATGTCATTTCACTTATATTTCGCTACAAACAGTGGTCATACTACCATAAGTTTAACATTCTTTGCTATTATTTTAAGACAAAAAATAACGCCTGAAACACTTAACATCAAGTAGATTTTTAAGCTAAATACCTGGTCAATTCAATCGACTTTAATCAACATATTTATGAGGAAACAGGCATATGGGTTATCACTGTCCGGCAAATGACTCAATCTTAAACGAAGTCAATGGAGATACAAACTGCCTAATAATAATTATAGACTACTTGAATAAAACTGTAATGTGGAATTGAATTTTTTAATGGTAAAAGGAAGTAACAACATGAGAAAGAAGTAGAATGAGCTGTATAAAAAATGGCTATAAGATTTTATTAACTAGATATATGTACATTGGTTTTTAAAAAAAAAATTAATGCATCTATCATTTCCTCGGGATTCAGTACTCAGAAGAGAAAGCAAAGGAAGAGAATTAAGAATCAACATTATCAATACTAGAAATGATCATACTGATAGAACCAACAACAAGTCTGTCAATTAAGGATACATATAACCACAAACTTTGTATTCAAAAACAAATAATTTACATGGTTTGAACTACGAACGATTAGATACATTTTTAACAGTTTATCTCTGGACGGAGAACGTCAATAGTATTAGCCAAGTGAAAGGAGTAGTCTCACTATTTTAAACCGTGATCACTTGATTAGGGTGATCATTCGACTGACAGGTGTGCACATAACACAAAATTTATTGTTATGTTAACAAGTAATATGGGTTTCTGGGGACGCTTTTTCAGGATTTTCATACCAGGGGAACAAGAGTTCATATATAACGTAGCAGTTGTTCAGTAAATAAATAATCGAAGATCAACACTGACTGGTTACCGATTTTTGAAGCCAAACCATCAATCAATGCGAAAATACATCCGGCTAAAACTGATTTAAAGACCTTAAACTATCATAATCTCTTAGTTTCATAACACGCTACTGGTTAAGTTACGTGCAGAAAACTCGATACATAGAAATTAGCTATGATAGAAAAATGTCCATCTTAGTTAATAAACTACTCATAAAATTGGCAGTTTATTACTATATTTCTCACTCTCCATATATTTTTCCAAAAATGCTTCATTACAAAGTAACGCACAGTGAGAATAATTTTTCTAATCACTGATGTACGAATCAAAAATGACAGAATTCAGTACAAACTGAGTAGCTATACACATCAATTAAGTATAACACTAGGAGCAGGAACAATGAAAATACATCAAGAAAGTTTATCTTACGTACCATTCCCCTGCTGTCTTGGCTAATCCGATAATGATATACCCTTCCTAAATGACGTACTGTAACGGAAAGTTGACCAGGTGCAGATTCTGATGCTCTAACAAGAAAAGAGCCGGTAATACCACTCCGAAGAAGGTGCTCTCCAGCTTGTCTTGAAACAGCACCATGGTACCATGTGTAGGACAGAAGACTTGGTTCCAAAAGACTTAAGGGTGATGAATCCATAATAACGGGATGGAGTGGACCCTTATTAGGTACATTCGATACTCTTGGCTGTATATGGTCATTGGTAAAAACGGCTTGTTGATTGACCAAGTGGGAAGAATTTATTGAACAACTTGCTTTTTCTGAACTACCACAAGTAACTAGCTGCTGAGAAGGGAAAACTTGTTTCTGGGGTACAGAATTCTGAAAGACATTTGCAGTGGCTAAGTAGCTTGTTGGCACCCATCCACGTCGGTAATTGTTGAAAAAATACATGCAGGAAACATTTACATTACTTCCAGTTTCGCTGGCAGACTCCTGATTATGCTTTGTATTAGCTCCACTTTTACACTGGGATGGATGACTTTCTGACCCAGAAGTGGAGCTACCAGGTCCAGTCTTGGAAATTGGTTGTAAGACAAGGGAAGCTTCTACTTCAGACCAATCTCCAGCAGGACTGTAACTTAGAAGGCGAACTAACTCACCTACATTAAAATGGTAAGAAACGAAAAGAGCAATAAACAGTTATCAGAATATATTAAGTTATATCAGTTATATAAGATCACTGATGTTTAGTGACAGTTTCTTTCAAAATCATAAAACAAAAAAACAGTACAAACTAGTGAACTGATTGCCCAAAAAGACTAACCAAAACAATAAGCTCGCATCGCTACCAGTAACGTGAGCGAATGGATATTAACAAGACCTCACTGATGGATTAGATTTTATTTTGGCAGAATTCCTTAATGGACTGACTACTGACGAATTTTCACAGCAGATACAAAGTGGTTCATGTGGCATTTGCCAAATAACGTCATCTCTGTAGTCATTATTCCAGGTATCAATCAAAGGAACGATATACTTCACAGCAGCTTGCTCCGTCCTTTACGACCGTGAAACAAAACCACTGAAGGTCCAAATATGATAGAGACCAGCTGTCTTTGGTCATAAATGGTTTCCTCCTATCCTTCATATTCAGTGGTATAGTATGGTGAGTAATATTGGGATTAGACGCAGAGCACTAGGTAAGGAGTGCATGTCAATCAATGTTTTATTGATATAAGTAAAAAACTTGGGCACTGTGGTGCAGTATAACTCCATTATGGATAAGATTTTATTTTGATAAATCACACAGTGTTGTACAGTTATATTAAGTGATGACGTTTCGAGCACAAACTATCGCTCATAATCATATCAAGTGATATGATATGATTATGAGCAATAGTTTGTGCTCGAAACGTCATCAGTTAATATAACTGTAAAACACTGTGTGATTTATCAAAATAAAATCTTATCCATAATGGAATCAATAAGTTTTTAAAGCTATATCGATTACGACGGCTAGAACGTGTATTCCGAGCTACTGCCTTCGTCGTCAAGCAAGGAGAAGTAAACTACCTTTGTGCAGTCCCTGGAGTACTAAGAACCGATGGATAGAGACTGTCGGTGATATCCCTCAAAACCGTTCTTACTGGAGCAGATGGACCCACACTTTGTAATCTCACAGACCTGCTAAGTCCTCATATTTTCCTTGTTACTATTTCTTCTGCCTATTTCCGCTTATCATAGTTCATATGAATTCTTTTCTTTACCTCCATGTGCTACACGGAGTGTCAGGTAGAACAGGTGCAATTCTATGCAAAAAGTCATTATAAAAGGAAGCAAGAGCTTCGAAAGTGTTTGGAGTTTCCAAGCATGTAAAAATTTATGCACATCAGAGGGACATAGACAGATGCAATATACTTGATGTGATTTTTAATAGTTATTGAGACGTGTTACCGGTAAAGTGAAAGACTATATTTGATGGATACCATTCGACACCCTTTTATCTATGCCAAGAGTGTCACTAACCCAAGGGATACAGTTGAACAATGAAAATGACTACTGGATTGGACTGTTACACTATTAGATTACACAACAATGCAGAGCAGTTTGACTTAACAATTAACACCCAGTTAAGAAATCCGTGCACACGTTTCCCCACCAAAATCCCCCACTAAAGCATCCGTCAAGTATAGAAAAGAGGGCTTTAGTGGATTTTTGATGATAGAACTTAATAATGATAAAACGACTAGGCGTTCACTTAAAACAAGTCTAGCCTATTCAGTAATATTAAGGCACACGATCTTCACTAAGGCAATGCATTTAACAAAATTTCGAAGATACACCAATAAAGATCTCCAAAGACAAATCTCAACGCTGACCTTAGGTCAATAAATCAAGTTACTATCAGACAAAGTTAAATATATTTGTGTGGTAACATCAACCAGCAGGTAAGGGACTGGTAAAAAGCATATGGTTAGAATGAAATCTAAGTACATTACGATTTACGAAGCTGAAATAATTTTCCCTTCAAAGACCTACTTCAAGTTTATGAAGGAAGCCATTAAACACACCATACGGAGAGGACTGGGAAAGGTTAACTGCCCAAGTCAATGAGTTCCGAAATAACCGTGATCAAATATGATACATTAACCTCCAAGTAATTCAGTAAAAGCACTCAACTAAATATTTACAGGTACCAAAACTTAAAAACAGAATATTAGTAAGGGAAATAAATATCATTTAGATGAAATGCACTAACCCCTCTTTATGCTGATTTGAGAGCTCATTGATTCAGCAAAATCATACAATACGATCATTATCTCACCCCGGCTTGGTATAACAGAGTCCGGGGGATTTTGTAAGTCCATTTTCATGCACTGACGAGCACTGAGAAGTTTTTCTGTAATCGCAGAATGTCACAGAGCTTAAAAATTACCATCCACTCGATAGCTGTCCGTCGTTTTAAAATTCTCGTTTGTATCAACTATATTCACCCTGTTCGTGTGATTTGATTCATCTTTTGATACTATAAGTTTGCTATTATATCCTCCCATCAGATATCCGATTCCATCCTATTCGGAAATTCAAACTTTCGTTTCATTCACACCAAAATCCCGCCATCGAAGCCCACCCGACGTATTTGGCGCTACACAGTACAACATCCAATATCCAATGTCGTTTTTACCAGGTAGTGTAAACCAATTTGATTTCTTTCTGCTCGCCTCTTGTGAGCTATAAGTTCCTTATCTTCGGTAAACTTCTGCTTAGCTCGTCCCGCCACTTGACTGCCGTAGCTTTGGTTGACTATTTTAGGAGTAGTGCAGGGATTAATTATGTGTGGTTTGTAGTATGAGGTGCGTTAAGACTGTTACTACTGTGAATGGAGTTGATCCTTTCACCAGTTAGCCCTCCGGTATCGGAAAAAAAGAGGTAATAATAATGATGATAGATATAATTAGTGAAGTTATTCAGATTAACAGACAGAAAAATAAATAAAGAAAACGTAACAAAGGTCAACTGATCAAATTTGAAGTCGATATATATATATATATATATATATATATATGTTGGTAATAATAACAAGTGAAGTTTGAGTTGTCAGGAGTTAATACGGGAGAGAATTTGAAGAAGTAAAACGACCAGTTTAGTTGTCTACCCTTGAATGGTGCATGGGTTTTAAGAGGATAGGCCATTTGGACGCAGTTCTTGTGTCGCTGCATGATTGTCTAGCCTTCTCTTAAAGGCGTTTACAGACGGTGCCATAGCTATATCTGCCGGTAAGGAATTCCAGGGGCAGTAAACCCGCAGTGAAGAGAAGTGAGAGGGCGCCCGGGTCCTTGACCTCTGGCGAGCTATCCTTCTGGGATCTCCACGAGGAAGTCTATACCTACTCAATGGCACAACACCTTCGCTTAGGTGATTCTGGTCATTCGTTATTTTTTAGGCAGCAATCAAATCCCGCCTAAGCCGACAGTAGCTAAGTGTGAATGAGCTTAATGTCTTTGGCCTTTCATCTTATGGTTTATTTCGGAGACCAACCACTCCTTTTGTTGCTCGTCGCTGGACTCTTTCCAAGGGGTTGGCTTTTCTTCTAAGCATTGGTGGTGCAATAATATTGTGCACCTCAGGGGGTGGTCTGACGTATGTTTTGTACAACCACATGGGCTGGAACATCCATATCCCAGCATGATGTCCAATCGTCCCAAGCTGATAGTAGGTTTGTTACTCAGGATCTGCATTTCCTGAAACCGTGCTGGGCTCCATGGAGTATACAGACCTATCAAGGTGACCCCTGATGTGATCATCAATAAAACTTTCCGGTACTTTCGATACCACTGGGAGTAGAGCTACTGGTCTATAACAAGCGGCATTTCCCCTATCCCCACACTTGAAGATCAGAGAAAGGATGGGTCTTTTTCACTCCCTTGGAGGTTTCCCCGATTCCACTGAGTGCTGGAACAAGTCGCATAAAGGCCAACAGAGGGCTTCAACGCACTGTTTCTGAACAGATGGCCTGATGTCGTCACAACCTGGAGACTTCCCAGGTGTGAGTCACTGTGGCTTCCCTAGTACTATTGCCGGGTTTATCTGGGGAATAGCCACTAGGCCTTCCTTCGGTGAAACAGTTTTGTCCATATGGGTAATACCCACATTGTTGTTTAACTATATGGCGAAGGCTAAACTGAATGTTTCCGCCATCTCTAGACTGGTGAGATATTGACCGTTTGGGCCTACTCAGGCACATGTCCCCTGGTTGGTTGGTTTTCTTTCCGACATGAATCGGTACAAGCTTTTGGGATTTGCCAGGAGTTTTTGGCAAGGTTAGCCTGGAATGACCTCCCGTCACTGCTGACTCTCGCATTTCACTGGTTCCTGAGTTCCAGGTATGCGTTGTGGTCAGTCTGACTCTTAGATACACGCCACGTAAACCAAGCCTTCCGCTTTACTTGTGGAATACGTTGCGTGCCTCTCTTCAACCATGATGACTTTCTTTTGGGCTGTGTAGCGACTAAAGGGACGGTATCCGAGATCACTGCATGAATAATCTTTTTTATCAATTCCCAGTGTTCATCCACAGATAGCTCATCATATGCTAAGGGCCAGTCTGCGTCGGACGAGAGCGTTCGCACTTCAGCATATTCAACTTTGATGTAACACAGACATGGTTGCGTAACATCCCACTGCAAACGCTCACGGAGGACAAGATCGAAACCCATGACTGCATGGTCACTACTTCCTAGAGGAGTCATGATCTGAACATTTTCGACGGGTAGTTGGTCACTAGTTAGAATGTAGTCTAGTTTCGATGACTTTCCACTGGGCCCCCACCTGGTGCCCCCTCCAACATTCTCAGTCAGTCCTATATTTCGAATAGTTTGCGGAAGATTTCGGCCAAATTTTCCCTTAGCATATCCCAAAGCGAGGTTCAGGGATGGGGCATTGAAATCTGCAGCTATGGTGATCTGGTCATAGCGCAAGTCCCGTATCCGTGTGATGGTGCTGAGCAGTAGCTTGTTGTGCTCTGCCCCACAGGTGGGTGATCGGTAGGTGCCATCCAGTAAGTGCTTGGTGTGGCCTACAGTGAAATGACACCATATAGAGTCTAGGAGTTCAATAAGCGGTAGGTCCTCTGCGCGTACACATTTAAGTTGCCTGTCAAAGTATATCGCAACTCCCCCTCCTTCATTACTACCCCTGTCTCTCCTGACCAGAACCATATCGCCTGTATTGATTTCGTTGCCGGCGATAGTGAGGGTTAGAAAGGTTTCAGTGAGAACGATTATTTTAGGTTAAAAGTGGGATTGGAGATACATGAGTTCGCCTAATTTCCCATTCACTTCTATTAAATTGCTATATAGGCAGCTGAAAGTGAGTCCCATAATCTCGGCGGGTTGTAGGGTGATGTCAAGCTGTCTGCCGGTAGAGGATATGTCAAAGGAGATGAACATTGAACGTTTGTTTTTGGAAGTGGTAGCCATTGGTGGGCGACTCGAAGGCGTGAATGGTTGGATCGTGTACAAGTTCGACGAGGACGACCATAAACGAGTAAATGTACTTCATAATTTTGTATAAAATTTTGGTTATAGGCTTTTACTGTTCTCCGCTTTAATTGCCAAACAATATAACTTCCTTCTTACAATACTGGTGTTTTGGATTTAAAGTCGAAGAAAGTGCATAGTATTTATTGGTGCGGAGCGTCTTCGTAGCAGTAGGAACTTAAGGATGAGTTCCTTGACAGTTTTTATTCGTTTTCTTGAGTGCCTTCTGGGGCAGTTTCTATTCATCTGTTCGTTTTCTGGAGCGCCTTCTGGAAATTCCGGGATTACTTACTGGGTCTGCATCCAGCATCTCTTTGGACATGGATTATCAACGCAATTCGGATTCTTTGTGACGTTGGATAATGCCTAGGTCAAGGAAGGGACGTGGCACCATGGAAGCAGACAAAAAAGTAAATAACGATGAGTTGCCTGTTAATTGTAAGATATACATGATGCTCAGCATGATGAGTGTGATGTTCACACTTCGCCGTTTAGGAATAGTAGTACTTTAAGACTCCCCAAGTTTGGAACTTGATGCTTTGATGGAAACCCAGCCGACTACCCACAGTTTATCAAGGAGTTTGAGGTCACGCTGAGCGGTTTTATTTTAAATGACGAAACGATTTTAATGTATTTGTTGAGGTACTGCACTGGTGTCGCTGCAAGAGCTATACAGTGCTGTAAGGTTATGCCACCCAGCGAAGGATACTCTGAGGCTATGAGTATACTGCGTCAAAGATTCGGGAGGCCTTCGACGATTGTAAGGAACGTATTCGAGGCTGTTAAAGGTATTATTATTATATCCTTTAACTCCTAGAGGAACATAGGGCTTCAGCTAGGCGTCTCCATTGCCTTCGGTTTTCTGCCAACTTTTTCACCCCGCTCCAAGGTACCCACTGCTACAGATAATGGTAGTCAAATACGAGATTACTCCAAGGCACTCACTGAGTTTCTGGATAATCTGATGACCTACAAGAAAACGTTGATTTTGATGAACTGCATGAGCGATCTGGACTCGAGTTCCGTCCTAAAGGTAATAGCAAGATACGTACCTACTCGACTGCAAAGAAAATGGGTGAAGATAAGCTCTCGTATAGAGGAAGAAGGTCTAGAGGAATGGTTCGAAGATATACTGAGATTAGTGACAGATAATTTTAATCAGACTATGAGTAAATTTGCCAGTATATTGCATCCGGCTTCTGAAACTGAGAGGTCAGAGAGAAAAAACACAATCATTTATGAGGAAAGAGTCCCTGAGAAGACGATATCAAGAAAGCTTTATGGTGTCTAGTAATCCAAACAAACTTAACGAGTGTGAAAGCTTTCGTGGGACACTCCCAACAGATAGGTTACAAGCTGCAAGACGAACACGATCGTGTTTCGTCCGTTTGCAAGAAGTGCACACAAAGACGAACTGTGAAGCAGTGAGCAAGTTCAGTGGTAAGCTAAATGTGAAATCAGCATCGTCAAGTTTGACTCCACAAGTTTTCAAGGTATTACTAGTCGGATTAAAGGTATAAAACCTTTAAGGATTTATGAGGAAGAGCCAAAATCATCTACTGCCGTTATTAAAGAGTTTGGAAATGATGAAGTCGATCATACGAACAGCGGTAAAGTGAATATTTGTGAGAATGATCATGATAGTGCACATTTGTCCTCGGCTGATCATGATGAGACGAGCGGAATGTCTGCTACTACTGAGTTGAACAAAGGTTCTGTACACTTTGAACGTGAAATAGAATTAAAGGCAGATGCGGTTGCAGAAGGTATGGATACTAGTGAGACCGTCAGTATAAATGATCAATGTGTAGTGCACCTATCCACAGATGTTAAGGCTAAAATGGAGCTAATAATAAAAGACAGCAGTGGTGGTTATCTCGCAGTTAGACAACCTACTAAAGGCCGAACAAACACAGCGTCTGATGCACCGCTAAGTTCATCAACTTGTGTCACTCAGTCGTCGTTGGTGTTGTCATCCACAATGAAAGGGACGTCCATGAACTCACCTGTCTTATGCTATGACTATGCTAGTGTTGGTCCGTTTGAAAGGATGAAATTCAATGGTCAGCTTATTGAGGACGAGCCAACTGCGTGTGAGAGTGTAACTGTTAA